CGTACTCACTTTTTCATATATATTTTATATTTTACTCTTCGCTTTACCGCGAATCATCGCAATCAGAAAGTTATTATAGATTAAATAAGAAAAAAAATAGTTTTCCATGTTCTCTTTTATGCTGTCTGCCATAAAAATGCAATTTCTTTTTGCTGTGTCGCTTTTCATGCTGAAAAAGTGTGCTCGGTTTATATTCGTGCCAGCTTACAAAAAAATATAAAATGGAAATAACGAATAATTTGAATGCTAGACCGTATCGTTCTGGAGTTCGTAACAGTTTCGACTTGGAGAGGCAATATGCCTTATCATAGGGCGTCGATTGTTTGCCCAACTCCGACGACGACTCCGACTCCACCTGGCCTATCTTATCAGCCAGCTGAGAGCCTCTGCCTCAATTTTCCCAACCCTCGGCATTCCTGAATGCGATTAAAAACCCCGCTGGATGTGATGAGTTCCCCATTCGCTGTGACAAATATTGATTTATGCTTTAAGCTCTCAACGTTTGCTCTGCTGCATCGCAGCAGGGTTCTGGAGCATATCAAATATTTGCTTAAATAAAGCAAAGGCAAGCTTATTTTTCTGCCAGAAAATGAACTAAGCTCCGGAATCGAAGGGCAGGGGGTTTGTTTTTCCCTCGCATTGCACGACAAACATGGCATGAAAATTCTATGAAAATTTCGCTCTCTTTTCAACAGCCTTGGTCCAGGGCCAGGATAAATGATTTTTTCATCTTCTACTGCTTTGGCTTCTTTTTCCTCATCTTTTTCTTGGCAGGCGTAATTTAATGATGAATTCTAGAATACACAGAGGAAAAAATGCACATACTACATGCTCATTAATAAGGGTAATAGAATTGTAAGAGAATTGGTATTAACAACATCCTAATTTTCTTAAAATAATGTATCATCTAGGTTAATTTTTTTTCTGTGTAGAGCTTGGCCTAAACGTGGGCGTTTGTGGGCGTTCAGTTGCGTGTCTACAGAAATTATAATCCATATAAAAGGAGAGAAAAAGTGAGAGACAGAGGGACGGAAGCGACTGAGAAGGAGGCTGAGAGGGAAGGATCTGCCATTCGTGAATGCTTATTTATATATTTCCTTATCTGCGATGAAAAGTGAACTATTATTCAGTGGGCCCTGACCAAGACGCGCTCAACTGAGACGCCAGCGGCGTGTGCCAGGACCTCGTCCTTGCACCCACCCCCGTCCCCTAAGACGTATGTATATGTATCCTACTGCTCGCTCCTACCCCTATCCCGCTATGGTCCTGCGTAGGTGCTGCGAAGCGTGGCCAGACAGACGGCTGGCAGGCGTTAGGACACGCGTCCTTTTTTCCCAACTACCGCAGTGCTGCTGCTGCTGTTCTGCTGCTGCTGCTGCTGTTCTGCTGCTGCTCCTGCTTTTCTGCTATTGTGCTCCCATTCAGGCCAAGAAAGTTTTCCGGTGGTGGGCTTCCTGTCCCAAGGAAATTAAAGCCAGCCTAGCAGCTGCGGATCCTCACGTCGGCCAGTCGAAGGAACTATCGAGCTAGGGTTCCACGAATTCGTATATATTGAGAATCGAAGAATTTTTGCTTTTATTTATAGAATTTGAGCTTCGGCTTACAATGAATTCCCATTTGTTTTCTGCTTTTATGGCTGCTTTAATTAATTAAATAAATATTAAATAGATAAGAATTTGGATTGAAGTGCCTATGAATCCATGCAAATGCAAAACAAATTAGTAAATTATTTATAAAAAAAACTTCCCTAAGTTCATTTTAGTTTATAGTTTAAGTTAGAGCATTTTAAATCCTGTTTAAAGGTCTTTCCGAATTTTTTCAAACCTCCTTTGGCTTATCTAATTCCGGATGTGAAAACGCTTTAAATGCTTCGCCACTCTGTGCCGAGCTTAAGATGCACCTTTTCCATTCAAAGTCTTATCAGGCCTACTTTTGTCACACCAACACATAAAATATACACGCATTCTGATTCTATTGTGTGGGGATAAGTTTTCTGTTTATCTTTTGGAGGCCCGCAGCTTTACATCGAATCCGATTGTAATTTTGTGTGTTTTTGGCGGTTTTGGAGATTTTGGAGAGCCTTAAACAGCCCCGCATCCTTGAAGTCGGCATCAGACCAGTATCGTTTGTACACTGAAGGAAAAATTTAACTTATTACCAAAAAAATCTGAATATTCCTTCAAGAAAACATGAATCACTATCTTAAACAATAATGCTAAATTTCGATAAAGCTATAAAAAAACCTCCAACCTATCCAATTTGTATGATTTTTTCTCTTAGTGTGGTAAGGATTTTCGCACTTCCTTTGCCATCAATCAAAAGTGCGTGAAATCAAGAATTTATGCCTCATTGGCAGCCAGGGCACGCTCGAGCGCATTGAGCAGATAAAAGCATCAGCCGCAGCAGGTCGACACCGGGAAATCGCATAAAAATGCTTGATAAAGGGCGGGTAATATATGCAAGCTCCTCCGCAGGGGGTGGTGGGTGGCCTGGTTGGCTCGGACGACCGCAGGGCAACAAATACATACATTTTATTAACCGACAAACATGGCGAAATGTCTCTGACCATTTCTAGGGCCACGCACACTTGCTCCATTCTTCAGGGACTGCTGCCGAATGACCACAAGTCAGATGCACGTGTAGGCCCAACGGTGGGTGGCAAGTGGTTGAGTGGCTCAGAGGCTCAGTGGGCGGAGCATAAAAATTGCATGAGCTTGAAGTTGATTTGAATGTGGCCCCTGCGCTAGACCCTGGAGGTGAGCAAACTGCTATAAATATCACCTTACCACAGACAATTCACATTGCAAGTTCCTAGCAGCCCAGTTGTGGTTTCAGTTGCCTCTGTCACGCGTGCCACCTTTCGGCCACTTACTGCGGTCCTCGAGGCAAACTCCAACTCGGCTTTTATTGTGGAAAATTAAAGTTAAAGGTTAGGCTTACATTTGGAGCAATAAAGTTTAAACTGTGGGAGTTCGATTTAGAAAGGGGTTTTTATTTAATAAAAAGAAAAAAAGGAATCCTGGGTTAGGGTTTTATTTGAATAAAGTAATTATCAAAGCCTTTAAAAATATCCTTTTTGGGAGTATATATGTTTCCCCTAGATCATCTAAAGTATAATACCAATAATTACTCTTCTATTTAGTATCCAGCTTCTACAATTAAAAACCCATAATACTTGCATTTGCATGAGGACTTGTGCCTGGGCGATAACCCACTCCATCCTGTTCCAGGTGTGCTCTGAGCACCATTGAAAGTAACGGCTTTTTCCACGAGTCCTTTGTGGCTGCAATAGTTGCCACCACTATGAGCTGGGCAAACACTTTCAACCCTCCTCGGGCGAAATCAACGCACGGCAGATGTGCGAGTTGAGCGATCGAGGCGCAGGACATGTTCCCTATCGCAGGACATATGCGGGATATCTCTCTCTTTCTCTCTCTCTCTCTCTCTCTCTTAGTGGATAGATCCACACGGGGTAGCGCCGAAAATGCTTGTTTAATTACAGGACCAACCTGGAAACAAACTTCCCTTTATCCCGAATCGGGTTGGGTTGAGTGGGCTTGGTCCTGTTTCTGTTGCACTTTCCGTGCTCCTGTCGGTACAGTTTTATTGTTGTCCTTGTTTACATGTGATTCCATATGCTGCGCATTTCCTTGATGAAATTTTAAAGCATAAATTGTTGCTTTTCGTTTCCTGAAAATATTTGCTGTGCGCAAAAAGCAAATAAAATGCAAACAATATGGTTGTGTGTGTATATATTTTTATAATGCTTACCTGCTGGTCAAATGAAATTGCATAACCAAATAGTTTTAACTGAGGCATTTAGAAGATGTACTTTTATTTGCAGTAAGAATGCCTCCTGCCATATCCTGGCACATTTTTGGTTTTAGACTTTCGAAGGGAAAACTGCCATTTGATATTTTAATTTCACAAAGTGAGCCACTGAATGAAAATCGAATTTTTGCCGACAGACAACAGACTTGGTACCCTAGAAATATTTATGTAATTTGTTAGAAATTGAATGGTTTTAACAGAGTTCAGCTTTCCGCATATTCCACCGGGAAAAGAGGCTTATGAAAGAGTGCAGGGAATGTTGACCTCCTTGGGTTTATCCTCTAGCCGGAAATTGTTAAGCAACTCACTTGCCTACGTTCATACATTCACTTACCCCATTCATTCATTCACTCACCGACTTAGTCCTGCCTTGATTCATTCAGTTATTCGTTGGTCATGCAAATCCCGGGCACACAAATTTACACCTTGGGTGCAGTTTGCAAAGCCCGGATAATCCGCATTAGTTGCAGAATGCAGACGGCCTCAGGACACCGAACGAGACCGGACCGGCAGAGGCTAAGACCCTTTCCAATCCGAAAGGACCATGTGGTTATAGGGCTTAGTTTCGCCCGCTAACTGATGCTATTACGCTATTTGCACAGGACACAGGCGGAGGCACAGGCAGAGGCACTGGCAAATTGAATCGTGTTTTGTCGAGCATTTCATTTCGGCATTTGTCAAATGTCGAATATGTCCGGACTGGCTTCGGTCCTAAAAGTCCTTAAAACCCCAAACAGAAACAGAAACCAATGAAATATGTATGTTTTGCCCATCGCTCGTCGCTGCCCATTGCCAATTGCATATTGCAATTTTAATTTTTCAATTCATTTTATGTAGAATATCTGTCCGAGTCGATGTCCCTAGCCTCCCCCGGCCAACTGGAGTCGGAGAGCCACAGGGGTGCCACAAATAACAAATTGCTTGTCATTGGCATTGCCTCAGCCTCAGCTTCGGCCTCGACCCCAAACTGGGGCCATTCCTCGCAGGGCCTGGCCCATAGCATTTACAATTTGAATCTCGATTAGAATTCATTGAGTTCCCGGCATTAGTTAGCTATCAGCCTCTAAGCATGCACAGTGGTTGGAATGGGTAAATTTCGTCCTGTAAGAATTTGTAAATTTAAATATATTTGAATAAATTTTTAGTACATTTCTGTGATCTCTTTACAATCTAATTGAAATATTCTTAATGCCTTAAACCCAAAGAGTCCGCTTTATTGAGCTTTTATTCCCAATTCTTGCACAAGTCCCAGCACCTTGCGCCTTTGCAGTTTGTCATTGGGGGTTTTTGGCAGGCTATCTATAAAATAAATACCTCCCCGAATGTGATAGGCCCCACTCAAGTGCCGCTCCACAATGCTCCGGATTTGTTCCGCCTGCAGGCGCTCACCCTCCAGGCTTTTGGTTCTCACAACAGCGCAGGCCGTGAGGTTGGTGGACACCTGATCCGGAATGCCAAAGACACAGGCCTCACTAACGCCCGGTAGTCTGAGGATGAACTCCTCTATCTGCTCGGGATAGATCTGGAAGTTGTTAAACTTGAAGACATCGGTATCACGCGTCTGGATGTATAGGTAGCCCTCGCTGTCCAGGTAACCAATGTCGCCGGTGCGGAACCACAGTCCATCCGAGCTGAGGGCTCTCCTGGTGGCCTCCGGATTCCGGTAATAGCCCTCCCACTTGTATCGCAAACGGGCGTATATTATGCCCACTTCATTAATTCCCAGCGGCATCTTCAATTTGTCCAGGACACGCAGCTCCACATTCCGCATGACCTTGCCCTCGCAGCCCACCGGACCGCCCACATTTTTGCTCAGCCCTCCCATTTCCGAGAGGCCGTAGCCCACGATGAATCGTTGGTTTCCAATCAGTTCGTACATCCGCCGGGAGACTGCCTTGCACACCTTGGAGCCAGCTCCGATCAGCACCCTTACAGAGCTGAGCTGGGCCTTCAGCTCCATAAGATCGCAATCGTGTTTGGAGAGCAGGGCTATTTGGTGCGAGGCCAGAAAGAGGAAGGTCACCTTGTGACTGGCCACCAACTGCAGAAGATACTCCACGCTGTAGGGCCTGTTGGTGATAATGCGACGGCAGCCGTTGAGGAGGGAGGCCAGCAGGATTATAGTTCCCGATATCCAGTAGAGGGGACTGAACGAGAGCAGTATGCTGTCCCTGGTGTAGGTGTTGGGACTGCAGAAAATTAAGCAAAGTATTATTATTATAATACTTATAAGCAATATGCCTTAACAACCTTTTATTAGTTATTGAAATTCAAAGGGAGATATATTAACAAGGCTTATAGAACTATAATCCTCACTTACTTTTTGCAATTGCAGAGCAGACTTCGATGGGATCGTGTCACACCCTTGGGCATTCCCGTAGTCCCCGAAGAACAGACAATAAAGGCCGTATGATCTCCATGCAACTTTGGACAGGGAACATAGCTGAAATGAAGGGGAGATTTTTTCAAATATTTTATTTAAATGTTAACCGATCGACTTACGCTGCAGCCGTAATAGATTCATCATCATTGAGCAGGACACTTATGTCTAGCACTCCTTCTAGTTGTCCATTGACCAGATATATCCTGGCAGGGTTGATCAATCTCTCGTTGACGGACTTTATTATGTGATAGTTCTCCACATCGCAAAAGATGAGCTTGGGCTCAGTGATGTCATACATATACTTGACAGTCTCTAAAAGAACAAAAAACAGATCCAAAAGATCATCCAACCATTCTTTTTGATTCTTTCAACTTGTTACAAGTCGGACAGCGTCTTACCCTCTGTGAATTCCGGATGCAGTGGGTTGATAGGGATGCCCCTTAGCAAAGCCGCGATAACCACGCTGGTCAGGTAGGTGGAGTTGTTGGCCGAGATGCCGACGACATCGCCCCGCCGCAATCCCAGCCGCTTGAAGGCCTGAGCGAGGCGGGCGCTCTGCTGGGCCAGCTGGCTGCCGGTGAGCTCCTGGCCCGTAGGATCGCAGTGCTGCATCACCTGGTCGGCATTGATCTGTAGCACGCGCATGATGACCTCGCCCAGGGTCATCTCCGGACCGTAAAAGTCCTTGCCCCGCGGTCCAAACCAAGTCCGCGAAGCGGCGTCGTAGTGTACCTCGCAGCTCATCGTGCTGGCGAACGAATAAGTGATTTATTGCGCCTCATTTGGGTCTTATATGGCACCGGCTAGAGGAAACAAAAGCGGAGCTGCTAATTAGTCGGACACGCTGCGTCGCCCCAAGACGCCGATGCCGCATGCCTGTCCCCGGTGACATCTAAAATAGATGCTGATTTACTCATTCGCATCTCTTGCTGGCCGCTAATCAAAACCGGCAGTCCACCAGACAGGCCAGATATGGAAACTTTTTGATAACTCGAAAGCCTCTTCGGCTGACTCATTGTGTTTACTTCTGCAGAGCACGACTTTGTCCAACAGGTGACATTTATTTATAACAAAGATTGCCTCACAGATGGGTGGTGGCCTCACTCAGCTCCGGCCAGATTCTCCTTCGCTGCACTTTGTTGTTCTGCGTCTTCGGGAGATTGTCCACAAAGAAGACACCGCCCCTTATGTGAAAGGCCTCGCTCAGGTGTTGCTCCACGATTCCCTTTACATCCCGATCGGTGAGCTGCTCCCCCCACTCATTCTCCTCTCGGACCACGGCGCAGGCTGTGAGATTGGTGGACACCTCGTCAGGTATGCCGAAGACGGCCACTTCATGGACTCCTGGCAGGTGCAGTATAACGTCCTCGATCTGCTTGGGATAGATGGGAAAGTGGTTGTACTTGAAGACGTCGCTGTCGCGTGTCTGGTAGTGCAGGCAGCCTTCGTCATCGAAGTAGCCGTGATCCCCCGTCAGCAGCCACTTTCCGTCGGGCGTGACCGTCACCTGGGTGTCCTGCGGGTTGTGGTAGTAGCCTCCCCAGCGGAAGTTGAGTCGCGCCAGAATCTGACCCGTCTGGTTGGGACCCAGGGACTGACCCTGTCCATCAACCAGTCGCACCTGAATGTTTCGCAGCAGCTTGCCCTCGCTGCCCAGCGGGCATCCCACATTCTTCGAGATACCTCCGATCTCGGAGAGACCATAGAGCACGGCAAACCTGTCGGCGCCCAGCAGCTCGTACAACTGCCGCCAGATGCCCAAGGGAACCTTGGATCCACTGCAAACAAACGACTGGACACACTGCATTTTCTCGGCCAGCTGAAACCGTTCGGGACTGCGGGCCAAGAGGGCCATGTGGTGGGGAACGGTAAGCACGAAGCTCACCTGGTGGCGCTCCACCAGGTCCGCAAAGTACTCCACACTGTAGGGACGGTTGGTGATGATCCGGCGACACCCATTGACCAGAGAAGCGAGCAAGGTGAAGATGCAGCTGATCCAGTAGAGCGGACTAATGCAGAAGAGCACTGTCTCCGAGGTGAAGAGCTGAGGGCTGACGGGTTATCAGGCATTAAGGAAAAGCTTGGAGGGAACGCCACAAACAACTCACATTTTGGCATTGTTCAGGAGGCTGCGGTGCGAACGGCTTACGCCCTTGGGCAAACCAGTTACGCCCGAGGAGGTGATTATGAAAGCCGTGTCATCGCCGCTCAAATGCGGGCAGGCAAAACTGAAAGGTCGAGGCGGAAGGTTAGGGGTTTGCTACCATTATACGGTGTCTGGCCTACGTACAGGGTCTTCTCGTCGTACTCGGTACAGCCATCTGCTAGCAGATCCTGAATGTTGCGAACTCCTGGCAGTGTTCCGGTGAGCAGGATGAGCTCCGTTTTGAACTTGAGACTGCTCTTGACCGCGCTCAAGGTCTCGTAGTTGTCCAGGTCGCAGAATATAACCTTGGGCTTGGTGATCTCGTACATATAGGCCGTAGTTTCTGATGGGTATATAAAACATTTTAAATTCTTCTTTGATTTTTGTACTACAGACTTACCAGAATCAAAATCCGGATGCAGTGGGTTGATGGGAGTGCCATTGAGCAGAGCTGCAATGACCACTTCGGTGAGGTAAGTCGTATTCTTGGCCGAGATGCCCACCACATCGCCCCGCTGTAATTTTAGCCGCTGGAAAGCATGGGCGAGACGGCGGCTCTGCTCCAAGAGCTGCCCTCCGGTGAGCTCCTCACCCGTGGGATCAAACACCTGCATCACCTTGTCGGAGTAAAGCCGCAGGATGATTAGGGCCACCTCGCCGAGCGTCATATCCGGACCATAGTACTCCTTGTCCTTCGGGCCCGACCATATCTTCTCAAAGCTGTCGTATTTGGTGGCCGCCATTTGGCTCGCACTGATTTCTCGATTCCTGTCGGACGGTCGATGGGACAAAACAAAACTTCCACGCACAGCAACTGAGTTTCGGCGAGTGTGGCCTGGCCTATATATATAGGCCACCACCACCTCGGTCGGCGGCAGAACTAGATGTGCGATCTGCTAATTGCCCAGACACGTTCTCCGTAGCCATGCCCTCGCCCCGTGCCCGCTGCCCGCTGCCAGCCCCTCTAATAAACTCTGGCGACAGTTGGCGCTGTCGAATTGTCAGATTTGTGTGTTTGGGCATAGCACATGAGCCTGAACGCGAACTGACACTGGTATCGGTCCCGCAGGGATGTCATTGCGGATGTCTGAATCCCAACTGGTTCCCAACTCCAATTATTTGGGATTTTGGGGGGTAGCTTTAAAGCCGTTTGCCAGAGGGGTCTATGTATATTTATATGCTGATTGGAGTGGTGGCCTCATCAATAACCATTCATCATCGAATCCCAACTATCCTGTGATTTTATTTACCTAACCAAGGGGCATAAATAAGGTAAATGTTATTCTTTGGGTAACATGTTCAGCATGTTCTTCGTGCATGGAACCACAGTGCCGGGAGGGATTCAGTCTCTGTTCGCCGCCTGGCAATTGCATAATTTCTACGATTAAACACGAGCTGAGCTCCAGCCCCTCCGGAGTCCGGGCGTCTCACTTCCCCCGACTCTGCTCTGCGGTTGTCGCACGATTCCTGGTTCTGCGCCAGGTGGATATATACGCGCAGTCGTCTATATATGTATAAATGGCATGTGCAACCGCAGAGAGATAGAGTCGCATCCTTGATGGGCACACGCTTCATTTGCGTGCTTAGTTAGGAAATCAAGCGTATGGCTCCGGGACACCGATAGAAGCGGACAAGGGGCGGGAGCAGTCAGAACTTAAAATGCAAGGAGCATCCATCCACCTGCAGTTGGGGCGGAGTGGGTTGGTCTCTCTCTTTGAAACTTTGTTGCGTAGCCGGGTAAAAAGTTACCCAGCATTGGCGGACGGAACTTGGGGTGCGGCAGAGATAGTCCTGAGTCCTGTGCCGAGTGAAAAGCACGGATTTGCCTTGCCTTTGCCAGGGGCAGGTCTGATTCATTGATTTCACTTAAATTCTCTTGATGCTGCCAACTAAACTTAATTAATTACGCAGTCGGCAGAAATGTGCAACAAACTGGCAAACTGGAGTGGGTAAAACTCTGTGATCAGCAGCTAATAAAAGTTGCGATCAACTTTTTTATTGCCGTTTTATGACCAGGACTCGACGACGACTTGACTGGGGCACAAAACAAGGCGACTGCAAACAACTTGTGCCACATTTAACTAACTTCAAATCTCGGCAATTAACTGAAAGTCACCCACAGCGAGAGTCCCCAGACGCCCCGACATGGCAAATGTAATCAGGCCCAACATTATAATTAACCGCAAAATGCAGTCCACCAGCCAGGAACCCAACGCCGAGCACTATGTCCTGCAGCCCCTTTCCTCGCTGGCCTGCTGCTATTAAAACTTTTACGACAAGTAGGCGAAAAAAAAAAATTACTTAATTAAAATGATTGACTAAACAGAAAAGTTTGTGCGAAATCATTTTTGCTTTTTTCTCCCTCCTCGTAACTAGCTGGGCATACTTTTCCGGAACAATAGTTCTTTCCGGTTTGCGGTCCGCCCTATATATCTGGCCCTCTCGCTTCCTCCTAGCCCTTGCTCTTTTGCGCTTATTTATTGTTTGCCTTTGGCCGGAGGCTGTGAACATTTTTCTTCTTTTTTTTTTTGTGCCTCGCGTGAAGGGCGGAGGGCGGAGTGCTCCAGTCCAAGAGAACCTTAGATGCGACAGCAGCTTGTTGTTCATCTAACAAATTAACGAACGCCTCGAGTGTTGTTGCGTGCTATCCCCCTCTCACTTGCTCCTTAACCGAGAAAACTTTGAAGTGTTAATGAATTGAGCGGCAGTGGGAGCAAGCGAGATGCCAGAGAGAGGGAGAGAGCCAGATAGGCAGAGTAATGACCGTTGGCCGCTTTTGTGGTCAATTTTCTGGTAATTGAAATTATGATTTAATTTAATTTGCCACAAAAAGTGTTGACAGTGAGATAAGAATCAAAAGAAAAGGCCAAGGGGACGGGAGCAAGTCAAGCTAAAGAGATTAATATCATATCTTGATGGGAAATTACAAATAATTCGAGTTAATGTTGACACAAGATAAATCTAAAATGTCAATGCTTTTATTTGTCAGAGTCAACTTGAAGATAATATATTGCATATTTCAAGCAAAGCCACCAATTCAACCCTTGACCCTTTTAAAGCTGTAATTAAATTAATCAACTCAAAATCCCCTATTCTCCCGATATATACATACATATGCTAATGGCATTCAAGTGATAATCGGTCCAACAGGACTGAATAATTCAAATGGGATTATGTAATGTGGCATTTAATAATTCACATGCGAGAGATGTGTTTTAGGCGTCATTACAAATCGTTACAACACTAATAATCCGTCCAAATGAGTCATTAACAATTAATTAGAGCGCCTTATAGACGGCTCTCAAGTGTTTGTGTCTGCAAACACACAAGGACGTGCACACACACACACCCCCCTATGCATAATGGATGTCATGGAAGGCGGTGGGAAAGCGGAGGAAAATGAAGGAAAACGGAGTTCTATTTTACTGCACTTTCAAAACTGGCTTTGTGTGCGGTTGCCACAAAACCAATTACAGCTCGATTCCAAAGCTTTTTCACTTTGAGCCGAAATCGGTGCCACACACACACACAGTTAACCCCAAGGAAACTAGGCAGCTGCCTAATAGAGCAAAGTCGTGGAACGAGAAGGACTTAGTCCCTGGTGGCATATAAAAAGCATTTAATTTAAATGATGTTCAAATGCCTGGGATGCTAACTGTTGATACAGCTGAGGAGCTACTTACTGCTGGATTTAACTATAATCCACTCGAAGTGGCATAGAGTTACCTCACTTTTCCTCTAGCCTCTAGTTTTATAGTCTTAGATAATTCCTATTTATTTAAAGCATTTATTTCTCTTGTTTAACAGCTCGTTCTTACTGCAAACGAAATGCATTTTTAATTTCACTTTCAGCTGCACTCTTGAACTTTTGTGTTAACTACTGATCTTTCACTCGCTTTAACGCCCACTGCCAACACCTGCTACTAAAGTCCCACCGTTTACGGCTTTTCCAGCAACGGAAAATGAGTTGCCAAAAAATTTTAATTAGAAAATTCGCACATATGCACCTAATGTGCCCCGTTAACGGGTGCCATTGGGCGGAAGAGGAGGGAGCATGCAGTGGGACGGGGCCAGGAAATCGCCATTTCCGATTAGGCACCTGGCAGGACTAACTGGCAATTGTTACCTGGCAACTGTGCCACCTGCCCATCGACAAAGGCCATTCGCAATTGTCGCCGCTTTTCGAGGTGCATGAGTGTGGAAAAGCTCTTTCCATAAGCCCCAGCACAGGTGTGTTCAACAGAATAGTTAGTTGTGGCTTTAAAATTAAAAAATGTTGTAAATTAAATTTATTATTTTTATGAAGAATTTTTCTGTTATTTTATTAGGAAAGTCGTGCCACTGAAAGTCTTAAAATTTTCTAATAAAATAAGCGAAAAATACATTAATATATTTTTTAAATGAAAAAGTAGGATTATATTATATTTTTAAATACTTTAAAATCAGTTTAACTTCAAGTTATTTTTAGCTTTGTTCAAAGAATTTTTGTTTTTACGCCTAAAATAAAAATTCCACATTGTTGCATTTAGGTGTTAGTGGAAAAGTGTGACAGGACCTGGCCATAAGTGTGATTGCACGGGTATGCTGTTGCCAATTAAACTGTTCATTTTGCCGGATTTTCTTTGTTTTGAGCCACTCGCAAGAGCGTCATGTCAGCCTTGTTTGCCACTGCCAATTGATGCCTCATAATTGCTCATTAACCCAACAATCGAGGGGCTCGCGAACAATTGCCATTTAATTACACAGCATTTCAATTCAATGTTGGACAATTTAATATTCGGTGACAATGAAATCAGGAATATATTTGTGTTCAAATGAACATGATTCGAGGCATACTTTTGGGTGCCACTCAGTCGTTTCCTCGACTACCTTGGTCAAGCAACTTTCCCCTGCTTCGTTTAGTTCAGACAATAAAATATATCATTCCACTTTTACCAGATTTTTATTTGTGAACCAATTCCCTTGACTCGTTCCGGGCCAATTGAGCTGACAACGAAAACACTTTGCCGGCTATTTAAGCCAAAAGGCAGACGAACAAAACAAAACTTTAATTTACTTGTGGTCAACTTCGGTGCCCCTCCGTCTCAGTTCGTCCCTTTCCATTACTGGCACCGCTGGCTGTACATAAAACATAATAAAAGCAAATACAGCAGAAAAAGCAGGGGGCAGCAGAGATAAAAAAAAATTAATTTTGCACAAACTAAAGCCTTAGAAAATTTATGCTCTGCCTGCATAAACAAAAGCACATAACGAAAGGCAAAAGGCAAAAAACAAGAACGAAAAACAAGCAACAATTCAATTCATTGGCTGTGAAAGATGCAGACATGGGCAAGCTCGTGGTCAAAACGCACTGGCTGACCGGAGGACGAACTTTTTGCTGGCACAAAAAAAAAAAAATGGGGGAACTGCAGAGGACAGAGATGGAGGAAGGAATATAGGGGCAGGACGGTGGCCAGGAGTCATGCCATTCCTGCATTGCGAAGACGGCGTTGCAGCTAACCGCAGGCATTCAATTCAACTAGAAAATACAACTTTGCTGCTGCTCCAGCTCCAGCTCCAGTTCCTGCTCCTGCTCCTGCTGTTCTGACTGCTACTGCTGCTGCTGCTGCGTTTTTATTAGCTCAGACACAATGCAAAAAGCCTCTGACTGCCAGGACCTGCGTATAAATAATGAAAACGGAGCAACAACAACAGGGCTGGCAACATCCTTACGCAGCATTAACAGCCAAAGAAAAATACTGGAAAAGTAATTCTCTTGCAAAAATAGAAACATACAAAAACAGGACGAAAGTCAGTCC